CAGGTCTACAACCATATAACCCATTGACCCTGGAATTCGAAAACTCCTGCAGGTCCATAGCCTATGCCGTAGGGTTTAGGGTTTAGGATTTAGGGTTTAGGGGTTTAGGGGTTTAGGGTTTAGGATTTACCTAGACCCTGAAATGTAGTACCGTTTTTTGGATGACCTATTTTAAGGTTAGGATCCTATAATAAGAAACTAAGGTAACCAAGAAAAGGTACTACATTTAAGGGTCTAGGTAGGGTTTAGGGTTTAGAGGGCGGGGTCGGGGCCTGGGACTGCGGAGAGGCGAGAACCAAAGACTCCGCCAAGGAGCTGCCGCGCGTCGGAGGACCGCACTGTCACGACCTTAGGCAAAGTTTAGGTATCATTTCTGGCTCCATTTGGGAATTAGGGTTTATGGGTTTAGGGGTTTAGGGGTTGAGGGTTTAGGGGTTTAGGGGTTTAGGGTATCATTTGGGGTTTCCGAAGATAGGGGGACCCTAAAATAGTACCCTTCATAGTAGGATCCTTATGTTAAGGACCCCAAAATAAGGTACCCTAGTTTTCGGAAAGTCCCATGTCTCAAAGAAGCAAAGGTCAGTAGTGGTTCAAGGTTCAAGCCCCATCTTCAAGGTTCGTTGACCTTGCTTGGCTCACGGATTGTACCTATAGTCTCCATTGTGGTTCCTCTTTGGGGTTACCTTTTAGGATCCTTAATATAGAATTGGTTAAACCAAAAAAAGGAACTACAATGGAGACTATAGGCAGTGGGTCTTGACAGCTCAGACCAGCCAAACCTCAGCTCCAGATCGGAAGCCCATGGCCCTGCGTAAACCCTGAAACATGAAGCCCCTCCCTAGGGCTCCAGTTACCTAAACAGTGGGTTACGAACCATATATTATGTACCCCAGTAACCTACCATTTAGGTATCTGGAGCCCTAGGGCCTGTATGACCCCACGGCAAAACCGAATCCCTATAAGCCCGGCATAAGTACGTTCGCCGCCCAACTCATCCGCCCAAGCACGGGCTGCGCCGGCAGCGGGGCGCAAAAGAGCGTCGCGGGGATGGAAAGGTCCTGAGCTGGAGATGCATTGGGGCTTGCGGTCATCCCAGAGGGACTACAGAACGCAAAGCCTCACACGAAAGCTCCAAGACATACATAATGGGTGGCGAATCTCAATCTCCTAACAGGGTATAATTATTCAGGTTATTTCAAGCGTTCAGGGCCTTGGGAATGATATGAATCCGTGGCTGAGGTAGCATCTTCGTTATAGGGGTGCGGGTTGGGACCTCAGATCTTGAGGAGTTACCGGCGAGTCTGCATGCAGAGGTTGGTGTTCAATGCATGTCTGGACTTCTAATGTGGGGGCCTGAATAATTAGAATAGGGTTATTGGGGGGGGGGCCATTCATACTACCCCAAAATAGTACAGGTAATTATTATATTTAAGGCCCCTATATTAAGCCTCAGGAGACCTCGAGCTGCTTCCCAACTCATAAACTCAAAGCCCCCGATCCTACAACCCGAAGACCTAGAAAAGGCTGAGTTGCAATAGGGCTCCTGGGGTCAAGTACAGTACGGTTTTTATAACTATGCCAAGGAACCCTAACCAATATTCGACTGTTTGCTCTTCAGGCCCCTATATATTCAACCAAGACAAATTTCAGATACTCCAGAATTCTTCAGCCAAAGGACGCCAGACCCCGAGGCGGCTGTCAGCGAGACCTGCTATAAGGCCCTGATTTTGGATTTCTACTCGTGTACCTGTAAAGGGCCTTCACATCTTTCTCAAGATTTTCTTGGGGTTTAGGGGCGGGTTGCCAGAGCGATTGCATTGGCTTGGAGGCGCACGGACGCATTACGATTCCAAGGAACTCAGCTTCCAGTGGAAGCCAAGCCCAACTTTGATGGCACTATGCCAGCTCCTGCGAAAGTGCTACAATCTCAGGTCCCCTCTCCTTGAGGAGGTCTGTGGCTGTGTTTTGAGGGCACATGTATCCATGTGCCTGAAACCCGAAAGCTGACACCTTCATTCGGGGGACTAGGTTCAAGACCTTCGGATACTCTGGGATTTGTAAGGGTTTGGGTACCCTGGACCATACGATCCGCTGAGGACGGAACCTAAGAAACACTGATCCCATACCAGCGCAGTGGCCTTCATGTACACGTAGCCGAACGTCTGGTCTACGATGGCAGGATTGCCATCGCCTCGGATGTCCATGGAGTCTGGTGAGTCTTGTTGCTGCCTCATAACAAAAAAGCACATACCAAGGAGCAGATTTGCGAGTTTCTTTCGACCCCAAGTCCACAACCCGAAATCCGTCAAACCCTGAAGTGTGCGCAACCACAGAGCCATTGAGAGGAGCTGCGGTCGACCTGTGCGTAATCCGGCGTCTGGCTGCAATCGTGCTCATACCTGTCTGCGATCAGGTTCAGATACTTTCTGTGCATGGGTAGTGAGTAGGGTGGAGGGCTATGAAATTTGTCAATCTGTCTCACGTGCTTATGTACAAGCCGTTAGCCGACAATCAGTCCAGGGCCATCTGTCATAGGTGCTTGAATTCCTTCCGGTAAAAATTCGGAGTATCGGATGCTTGAGCTTAGCGTTCAAACGAGGATTTTGTTGCTGAGTCCTGTATGAACAACATCGGAGCGGAAGTGCTCTCACGCAACTTAACATACGGCTGTGAGCATGCGATGCATCGCCTCGTAACAAACAATCAGTGCCGCGCAGTTGCGTGTAGCCGCTGAGGCTGCTGAGTACCTCCGCGTGTCTTTGTAAGGCTCGGATAGGAGAGGGCCCGGAAGGTGCCTACATTGCTGGAGGGTTTTTTCAAAGACTATTTTGAAGCCAAATGATCATCAGTTAAGGACACGTAGGATTAGTGGATGTCTATGCGAGGCCACAGCAGATTGTCTTGAATCAGAACTCCTCGCTGTCGCCTGCTCGACCAGTATGAACAAAGGCCATTCTCTCAGGGCTTTTTGAGGTTGAGGGTTGAGGAGGTCTGGGATCGAGTGCCTTAGCCTTCATCCCGGACCAAAGAAGCACAGTCAAACAAGTCCGATCTGCGATTTGGGACCCCGGAATTGTGCTGGCTGCTGGGTTTAGGCGGACGCTCGCCCAGAGACCCAGACTCAAGCAGGCTCCCTCTCAAACGGGTGCATGGGAGCTCTAGATGCATGGAGCTTGCCACTCCTTCCGCATTTTAAGCGAATATATGACACGACCCCCACCCTCGGCTCGCCCAGGCCCCAAGTGTTTCAGAACCACAAGGCTTTGGGGTTCAGGATTCGGGGTTGTGTTGCCTACCCCGGCTGCAGGAGGGCTCACCTGTGCAGGCATCATTGCATCGGGCCAGCCGCGGTCGTCCGCCGTAATGTAAAGGTTGTAGTCAGGTACGTCGGCACCATCACCTCATGGGTTTATGGGTTTTAGGAATTCCGGGAATTTCCGGGATCGAGGGACTGTGCGACCTGTGGCCTTTATGTCGCAACATGATTTCAGACAGGGGCACCACGAATCGCCTTCTGCAATCCGGGAGTAGCACATGCTAAGCTCGTAAGCATCGGTCTTGAGCAGGTTGCGGAGATCCGGAGCGCAACACATCTCAAGAAACCGCCTCAAGGATTTGAGCCAGAGAGAAACCCTGAACTCCAATGAGGCCCAACCGAACATTCTCAAAGCAGGTCACTCCACTGCCGGTTCTGCGTCAGCGAAGAGAAGCCAATGCGCAAGATGGATCCGTCAGAGTACACGTAGGTCGGCGGATCCGGAGTCTCGGAAACACCTGCAACACATGCGGGTGTTGATTGGCCTGAGGCGTGGCGGAGTTTCATCAAGTTTCATTGCCTCGTTGGCAGGTTTGGAATGCCTGCTGTCCAATTACAAGATAGGGGCTGCCTGCATGTAAGGCTCGGCGTTGAAGGCATGCAAGTGTTGGTGCGAAGGCTATTTCTGCATACTTTTGCGGCATCTCCCGCTAGCTCAAGCTTGGAGCTCTTGCGCTTCAGTGATTCCTCCATAGCCGTAGGCCCGACGACGCCTCAAGCTTCGAAATCCTAAAAACTCCAAGGAAGCTCACGGTCCTATTCCTTTGAGAACAACCCTCAGATAGGACGCGATTGGCGAAAGCGCTTTAAGAGCCCAGGCTTTGAGATCCCCAGCCTGTGCTCATGTTGACCTGCCAATCGGGGTCCGGAGAGATGCCCGACTCCGTGATCCTCAGCTGCTATAGGGTCTTTTAGGGGCCTCGCCTTTTTTTGGGTTAGGGTTTAGGGTTTAGGGTTTATATAGGGTCTTTTAGGGGCCTCGCCTTTTTTGGGTTAGGGTTTGGGGTTTAGGGTTTAGGGTTTAGGGGCGCCTCGCTTTTTTGGGGGGTGTTTCGGACCCAGAAAACCTGGGAGGGGGTCTGAATCTGAGGAGTCGAGGATTGGATTGAAGGCAGCTTTATCCGAGCGAAAGCCTGGGGCCCTCGGACACTAAGGAATCTAGTCTAGTCTAGTCTCGTCTAGTCTAGTCTAGGGAAAGTGCCGTCGAAACCCTGCGGCCGCAAGCCGCACAGTCCTCCAGCCTGAGCCCCAAACCCCTAACTCTATAGGCCATAAGTTGGGTATGTGCAGCTCAGCATCGCTTGCACCTTGAAGGTGTACGTATGCCACGCCCGCAGGCCTGTGACCTAAGCAGATCTGTATAGGGTGCATTTTTACGGCTAAGATTTATCCAGGTGGTTCTACATACCTTGAACGAGGTTCCTGATCAAAGCACCCTTAAGTTCTTCTATCAAACATGTTGGGTAGATTCTGGAACCCGTAGTCGTGCCTCCACAGCCACAAGAAGCAATAAGAAAGGCAGATTGAGAGTTTCAGAAGGTAAGGTCAAGCCTTATTCAGCTCCTTCCAGGGCCCAGGGTTTCTTTGGACTGATATCCCCCGCCTCTTATCGGCCCTCGCCGCAAGGCTACTCTGGAAACACTGTGGAGGTCTCAGGCTTGAAGACTTCTTAAATGCAATTTGATAAATCCTGTGAGGGGGTTTTTGGTTTAGGGTTTTGGGCTTAGAATTTTGGGTTTAGGGTTTAGTGCAGTTTGATAAATCCTGTGTGGCTACCCTGCTCCCTGAATCTCACATCTTTTTGTGAGGGACCATGGCATTTTGGAGCATGAGTGGTTTTGCGCTAGACAACGATAGGTAGACTGTCCAAGCCCCAAATCCAGATGAACTCCGAACCCTCCATACAAGATAAACTCTAAACCCGGATGACCTATGCGGACTTTCTGGGGCATCAGTGAGCAGAGGCGAGCCACGTTGTAGCGCGGGTGGAGGGTGGAGACGTGCACCGACTTCTCCTCGAGATGAACTCCGTCGGTGTAGTGCGCATAGGTCCTGGGGTGCACATGATAGGCCTTAGGGAACCCTAAACCGTAAACCCTAAATTTAGGATTGTGTCGGGATTTGGGTTCAGGTTGTAGGGTTCAGGGTCCCGGCTTCGACGGAAGACTCATGAAAGAGCAGACGACGGAGGCCGGCCGATCATTGCCTTCTGCTTCGAACCTCGAACTGGGCATTCAACGTCGTCTACAGGCTGCGAAGGGTTCGTGAGTCTTGAATTGTGAATTCTTAAAATGTGCAGAGCTGTCCGCGAAAGACAAACTACTCGACTAGACTCTAGTCAAACAAGCCCCAGCTTGTGCGATGTACAGCCTGTCAGCAGCAGCGTGTCGTGTCTTTGACACACAGCCATGCTGTTTCTGGAAGAGTTCGTATCCTCTCAGATAAGACCAGTTTGACTGGCCGCATGGACTTCAAGCTTGCATGGCGCTACGATCGCTGTGTCTTCCGGGGGGGTGCTTCCGGCCAGTGGTCTAATGTCAACATGCCCCGGAAGGCTTGCAGTCGAAGCCCAAACGGCACAGCAACCAAAACTCGAAGTGCGGCTTAAGCCCACATCCTTACACCCCAGATTCTAACCGGAAGTTGTATCGTGAACACTAAGAGCTTCACCTTTGGATTGAAAATCGACCGCAAACGCTAGCGGCTAGCGACACCTCCGCCCTGTGAAGGCACTACAGTCACCGGGCAAGTGCGACTTTAACAAGAAGCCGCGTGCCAAGACGCTGATGTGTCTTCCACAATACAAGATCTTCTGAATCGCTTCCGGGCGTCAATATGTGGCCCAAGAGCGTCGCATTGTGGAGGTCCGCAGGCTGAAACTCCAGAAGGATGGAGGTGATGTCACTTCCCACCTACCGCGCGAAGGGTATAGGGTCGTATAAGGATTATAAAGGAGAAGAGCTGCGGTAGAATCGACATGTTCCAAACTGACAGTCATAATCATGCAAGCGGCCACGACAGTATTGTGGTGACAAAGCCGTCAGAAGAGGACCAGAGGTGACAGCAGCTATGACTTGGGTAGAAACCTCCAGGTCGTGCCCACCCCACACGCACCCTTTGGGGGCCTGCGGGAAAAAGGAGCTCGCCGGGCACCAAACCCGCATCAACAGACTAGGATCACGCTGCCCTTACAAACTCAAATGCAAAATCCCGAATCCTCACATGTACGAACCTCCGAAATCCCGGACATGGATAGGAGATCATACTTCCTACGCCTTGTTAGATCTGCAAACCTCAAACCCGAAACCAATGAACTGCAAAGGCCCCCTTAACCCCCTCAGCCACGAAGCCGCACCCACACCAGCTCTCGCAATTCCCGAAAGCCCCCGCGAAAGCCTGAAGGCCAAACCACCAATCCGAAACTCCTTCAACGCCACCCTTCTAGTTGCCCTCAAACCCTAAAT